AAGTGAAGTGAAGTGAAGTGAAGTGAAGTGAAGTGAAGTGAAGTGAAGTGAAAAGGACAAAAAATGAAATCCTACAATCCTTGAAAGTTTGCGCATATTTTGCGCTCGGTGCTAGCAACTGGGTGGGCCCTCAGACCTCCACTGGCCCAATTCGAGGCTGCTTTAGCAACCAACTTCAGATGCATAATCTCCTCTTTCGACTTTACGGGGTTCTGGCAAGATTGGCTCAGCTCTTTTCACTCAGCGAAAGTGTGCAAATCTACCCGCCTGCCTCCGCCTCGTCGGGAATCGAGCCAGCTGACCCAGACCACAATCGGGAGGTACAGTTGCGGAGTCGCAAGGGGTGGAAGGGGGGTCTTGCGCTCGAGCTGCCTTTGGCTAATTGAAGTGGAGTTTCCGTTTGGCCAACGATCCTCGCGTTAAATTGTATCATAAAACAAGCTCTCTTTCATCTCAACGGGCCGTGGTGGAGAGATAGCCTCGGGGCTCGGTTAAGATGCAGCTGAAACGCGATCCCCCAAAACGCTCGTCAGCCATTTCGTCCAGACCCGAGCCCAGACCTTATGAATCGTGAACCCGACAGGAACTCTTACTCTCCTTCAAGATAGAATAAAATAAGACTATTTTAGTCACACAAAAAAGTTTCGGATACCCACCAAATCTGGACGCCCTTATGGTTTCATATGAAGTATATGCGAAGAAAAGTTGGGTTTCCAGGACTCTCTTGTTTCGTACTTGTTGGGCTCACTTCCGTTTCGAGTGAAAGTGTTTGGCGGATTCTTCTTGATCGGCACTTTTTCTTACCAGAACGGCATAATTACCAGATCATGGACTTATTCCACTTCCAATTCCAATTTCTATCTCTATTTCTATGCCTATTCCTACTGCCATTCCTACTCATTCACACTACTACTTCTGGCATCTTTGCATCACTTGCGCAAGCATCACCCAAAACTCACTTTAAATAAGAATCACTCCCTTTTCGCTTCAGCCAATCGAATCCCGCCACTCCACAGAGCCTACCTTTGGACCAATCAGATTGAGACCTTTCGAATCGATTAGACGCCGATATTCAAATCACACAATTATTTGGGCAGACAGGAAGCGGTCATTTATGCGCTGGTCGGCTCTCGCAATCGTGCGTCAAATGCACCAGCAGTCACTACTCACCTTGCTCCCTCTTAATTTGGCAATTTGCTTCGGATTCCGGCGCTCGTCTCAACCCGGAACATTCCACCAGGACAACTTCGTATCCGTATGCGAGTAGGGTTTCGAGACTACCAGTAAATCAGTGTAATGAGATGTAC